TGCATACTTAAAAATAACTAGAATAAATTTTGAAAACATTCGAAAATTCAAGGTAGCTCGTTCAAAAATTTCTGGGGAGCAGCAGCAAAGCCCGCTTCTTCTATAATCTCAAAGTTGTGGGGGAAAAACAGTGCTTGGCTTATGTTACGACCTTCATTCAAGAAAATGATTTTTGTTCTCCAGACACAAACGGAAATCTTGCGACGGTCACTGGAATACAAATATATGCAAACTTTTATAATTTGATGAAAATATAATGAGCAATCTGTGTAGCCATAAACTGTATTTTACTCTACCTCGGCTTCACTATTTCTCGTAAACGATGTAGAAGATCACCGGACTCTCTGCGGAATTCCCCAAAATTGAAGGAAGGGGAAAGTCATGCTTTGTTATTTAATCTGCTTTTGAAAATATACTCGAGTTCTAAAGTGTTCTTTTGCAATAATAACGATATCAAATCGCTTGGCAAGTCCACTGAAAAGACATAAGCGGAGCGCACGCACAGCAAGCATTATAGGGAGAAGTGTAATTTGTAGGAACGAATAGAAAAGTGCATTCTCGCGTCTGTGGTTCGCAACCGACAGCGCATGCAATTTTTCCACTGCCGGCTGGCTGCTTTTTTTGCCCGCATGTATTTGGCACGCTACATCAAGAAAAGGACAACAACGGCATGGGGCTATTGTTTTATATACCATCCTCCTAATCGGGCAGCGGGGAAGGGGGATGAAGAAAGCGTAGACGCCATTCTCATATTAAAACCTTTAGCCTGCCTAGTGTTGATCGTGTATGCAACGATGAAGGGCTAAGCTGACCTGACGTGGGTATATCCTTGTCCTCCGGAGAAGATCATGCTCATGCAATGCATCTCATTAGATATTAGTTGCTAAATAGGAGACTGACCCGAAAGTTCATTCGCACTTTTCAAAAACTGATAACATCTAATTTTTGCGGAGCATTTGTATGAATATAGTTTCATTGGAAAGAGAAGACTGCATCTTACGAAAGCACTTGAAAGCCCTTCCAGCCCACAACGTATGGATATAAGCTATAGACTAAAATACAAGGAGTAGCTAACAACTTGAAACCCTGCACAAAAACGAGCAGTCGATACAATAATTTTTTTTAACTGCTCTTTCTATCGGAGCAAAGTTTGTGCTGATTGAGCGTTTCTATCGAGAGTTACGATATCCGAGGGAAACGCAAAAGTAAATAAAATTTGCCGTTTTGTATTGCTATGCGAAACATCGTAACTTTTTGAGCTCAGTGCAAACAAAATCCCATGTGGTATAAGCTGGACACCTACAATACCAAATACTCCAAATTCTAGTCCAAGTTTCAGATTTTCAACGAACCGCCAAAAAAGCGAAATTTGAACAATTCTCATCTGGAAATTGTATATCTGCTTTTATGCATGAAAGACGGTATTTTGAAAGCTGGCGTGAAGCGCACAATTTTCTTTTCCTAACTGAACTAGCATTGTGATAATTCTTTGAAAATACAAGAAACTATAAATTTTTGAAAGTGGTGCAAACGGCCTTTTGCCGACTTGATATATTACTGACAACTCCCTAATTTCTATTTATGTAATCAAACTTGGCAGCGACTTATAGTAATCAGTCGTACATTTATTTTACTTTGTAATCAGCAAAATTATCTCAAAAACGAGACAGAAACGATTAAATTGATGTGTCAGGTCAAATCATGACTTTGTTCTTACAACTGACGCAGAATTTTCCATACAGAATTTACTTGTCAGTACTTGTCACTTTTTGAGCAGATTTCCAGCATGCGCTAGTGAAAACTTGGAGCGAACTGCCTTCGTATCGATAATGATACTCCCGGAATTTACCGAAAAAATCTAAAAGATGAAAGAAGAATCACAGAAGTGATGGATGATGAGAGGAGGCGAAACGCTATAAGATTACCTTCTAATCATTGTAAGCCAATGGTAGCTTTTTGTCCCTTCCTTGCATATGCCAAATATGAAATTTTGCCAATTTCTGAGGTTTCCAGAAGAAGACAAAAAAGTTCAACAAAACTTACGTTTTAAGCTATTATAAGCGGTCAGATTATAAGATCTTCATGAGAACAAAAACGTATAGAATAGAAGAACAGAGGTGACTTGTAGATATTTGCAAGTTGGAGAGATATGGATAAAAAATCCAAATTCGAATAAGGTCAAAACATAATGTTAGGATGCGGATCTTGTTTTGAAGTAACGATACAACATGCTGAAGCAGAACTATATGTAGCTAGATCAATAAAGTGGTTTCCAGATAAAAGCTTAAAAAATTAATTTTCGTAGCCTGAGAAAGCATGACTGTTTGAACCTCGTGACCATCTTTACCACTGAAAAAGGCAGTGGTGAAAAAGCAATTGGATTTGATCAATAAAAAGTTGAAGCTAACAAGAGGACGCTCCAGACCCGTCGCATGATTAATGCAGCCGGAGATCGAGCCCCGCCCATCATCGCCACCAAGGTAATTGCTGTCAGTCACGGACCACGCCCTCCAATTTCCTTTGGACCGAGTTGGCAACAATGTATACCATGTCTGCTACACCTACATTTAAACTATGTTTGTGAAATTTAGAAAAGATAAGTCATTTCAGAAAGGGAGAGAAGCTGGCCGGGACACGTACTATACTGAAAGCCTTAGTGAATTTGTAAGCTATTCTATATCTCGATTTAAGACCAGAGAAAGATCCAACAATTGCCTTTTTGGGTACTACTATGTATCCCTCGTACAATGACTAAGTTAGGGGTGAGTATGAATTTTCCTGAAAGGAAATCCGATTTTTAGGTTAGTCAAAAAATTTCAATTTTTTGCTCCAAATTTTACATGGATTATGACTTAGGCGGATCTTTGGTGGTAATTTTGTAAAGCCTGTTGCTCTATCAAATGGCACCCTAAGCTTGCCAAGAAAACAAAAACGGCTTGATTTATTCAAAAAGGAGTGTACTTCTGGGACAGAACAATATCATGGGGTAAATTATATGCAAGAAGACCCGGCATTCGATTTGAAACAAATTCGAAAACTCTTACTTGTAAACTTGGATTCTGTCGCTTATAAAAAAGAATGAATTGACTTGAAGACGAGGACTGCATAAGAATGGAGCCAGAAGAGGATGCACCAGGAGGATGCTCACGTTTTACAGAACATAGCTTCTCAACAATAGACCACCGTCCTTGTGAGAAACTAGTATTTACAATTCATTATAAGCCGTCTTCTTATGAAATTTGAAATGGAGCAGAATAATGACAGAATAACATCATATTTATTACGAAGCGAGAAAAGCATGCAAAAATGGGCATAAAGCAAAAAATAAAACAACAGCGTCTACTTTAGAGCCTGCCTCGCTAAAATAAAAAGGGCTGCAATATTGCAGTTGTTCATGAACAAATGAGTAGCCAAATAAGGATGACTTTGGAGCTCAAATTGCAGATAACGCAGCTGTCACAACGAGATCACGCGCAAATGATGGTCGGCTCAGCCTATGCACCATACACATCATCTGGACCACCATATACGATGTGACAGGTATTACATTGCACTTTCACTAGTGACTGTGGTAAGCTGCAAAATTGACTGACAATGAAGATGAAGTCAGTCAGAGGCTATGCGACCTGTTCTATGATAAATCGAGAAATTGCGGATTTCACAGAAGCAGTGCTCCTTTATAAACAACGTCCCAAAAGTAGACTCTTTTCTAAATAAATCAAGCTGTCCCTACTTCCCGGCGGACTTAGGGTGCTCGGATGAAGCGAAGCAATCTTTACAAAATAATTACCAAAAATCCTCGTAAGTAATAATCTAGGTAAAATTCCGAGCCAAAACTCAAAATTTCTCAATTACCCTTAGACGGCTCTACTTCCAGAAAATCCATACGAGACTTCAGCTTGCTTCATTATACAGTAGACACACAGTAGTATCGAAGGATGTACTTGGTGAGATTTTTCCGGGCACAAATCGATAGATTAAAACAGCCCGAATGCAAAAATGTCACTTTTTTCGTTTTTTATGTTAAATTTGATATTTCTCGATTCTCATGGCTCACACACTTTTTTTTTCGAGTCTGTACTTATTATTTGTGGCTTACAATTACATATGGGAGGGGCTGAGGGAAGCTTGCCATCTTGGATTACCTTTATTCTCATTCCTATACTCGAAAAAAAAAACAGTAGAGGCACCGAGTAATACTACGTCTATAATGTCTACAGTAATCAAGATTAGAGGTGCGGGATTTTCTCGCCAAAATTCAACTCTCAAGTAACAATTTTTTTCGATTTCGACTCTAAACTTACCTGGAATACAACTTAAGCGGATCTTTGGTAGTCATTTTGTCCTAATCCGCTAAGAAAACAAAAACAGTTTGATTTATTTGATGAGGGTTTACTTTTGGAACAACCTAGTAGATCCACCAGGTCAAAACTGAGTTGGAAAAGACGAGAGCAAAAGTCTTTTTTGCGACACATCTACACATGTGAGCAGTGTAGGTCACAGTATAATATAATAGCCCATCCGCTATTCCATGATGAAATTGATTTCGCTATGATTAGAGCGTTGCGGATGATTCATTTAATTAGTCATGACATGTAATCGGTGCAATGCCAGCTGTCACTGCCTTGTCCCATTATTCCACGACCATCAGAAATCCCCAAATGTCTATGCTCGAGCGGCCTGCCTCTGAAGAGCACACATTATTAGCAATTTTAAGGGATGAACAGCGAAGCACAAGTGCATACGCCGGCGGCCAAGGGTCGATATGAGTTCTGAAGTACGAATGTGAAAATATCAAAGTTTGCCAGTAAAGCACAAGATATTAACGAATGGCAAACTTTATATGCAACAATACTTCATGCAAGAAAGAAATCTATTTCGAAATGGGAACAGAACACAAAACCGTTTTGAGAACGTGCAAAATTTCCGTGAATTCCGCGAAATTCCAGGATTTCCGTGACATTCTGCGACCTTCCGCGATTTTCGCGGAATCACGCGAATCACGCAAATTTAGTGCTTGACGTATCTGAAAATTGAAGAGTTTGGTTATTCTGTCAATTAACGCATTGAGCTTCACAATGATTTTTAAAGTGAGGTTATCACATTGATTGTCATAACCATTTCGGGGCGGGTCAGCTGTCAAAAGCTACTTTTTGTCATCGATCGATTATTTATCGATTTTTCTCGATTTGCAAAGTTTGAGCTACGGGGCTGGCAGTTGACACAGGGGGTAAATGAGCATGCCGACTACGAATACAGTACTACCTTTTAGAATTATCGATCACTTTGTCGATTTTATCAATTTTTTTGCAAAGCTGGAGCTACGGAACTGGGAGTTGGCACTTACGGGGATAGAAAATTGACATGTAGAAGTGGGCACAGGAATTGTGCAGGAATACGAATAGTGACCTTTATCACAGTCTTTTGATAGAGCCAGGCAAAGTCGGTTACACCACCTAGTAAAGTTAGCGTTGGAGAAGATCATAAATAAAAAATACGTCGGAAATGAAGAATAAAAAACACTTCAAATAAAATAATAAAAAATAAAATTATTATAGAAAATCAACTTAAATAAAATAGATAATCAAATAAAACGATATTACGTCATAGGATCTTTGTGCGTTGTCTTTGTCTATCGTGTTTTTTGTTAAATTAAGGGGACTTCGTTTCAAAAAAATTGCCAGAGATATCCCTGAAAGCACTGAGTAGACTGTTACCTCTCAACTTCCCTTTTTTTGTATTATTTTTTTGATGCTAATCAAAATGATGGTATGCAATCGCACACTGATAATTTTACCGAAACACCCTGTGTTTTTCGAAAAATATACGAAGTTGAATTGACCTGCGCTAAATCCTTTCATTGAAAATTTACTAATTTTATTCCTTCTCTTCAGCATTTTTAGATAACAGAATGCAATGTTTGGAATGCAGATTATGGAGATATGTAAACCATTGCAATTATCTTGGATGATTCAAAGCAATTATGCCGCGTTACAGTGTCAGCAAAATTTGTAATCTATGTTGTCTCATTCTTTTTATCGTTAGACATACATGGCTAGTAAGGGCAAACGACAGCAATGTCATGGCAGCGATCAGGCTGCCGACGTCGACGCGCAAATTACTGCTATTAGAGCGGATCAGAACTCATATGGATTTTTCGATGCCGTTGTCGGAACTTTTGATCCTTACTGCGAATTAACTCACCGATAGATCGCAATCGGGAGAACGACGCATCCTTATTAGATGATGCTGCTCTCTTCCGAAAATAGCGTTTGGGGACTGAAAAGGATCATTAGCTACTACACTACTTTGGTGTACCTTTGTGAAAATAGTAATCTTTTAAGTTCTTCAAGTTATCATCGGTGTCCACGAGTAAGACTGTATTTGAAATTAGCGAATATCTTAACAATATTAGGTTGGGAAAAAGTCCTTGAACAGGGTAATTTCATCGTAATCACGAAGCTAGGCAAGATGATTACATGAAATCAATGGATAATGTTTACTCAACTGTCTGCTACATAAAATGGGCTTTACAATTCAAAAATTCCTCCTTTGACGCGAAGACAAGTTCGGAAACGCGTGAGAACGCTGTCCATGGTAGCACGAAGGTGCTCCACGTCGACTTCTTCCCCGCATTCTAAAGATCTCGCAGACACTCCGCAGTTTTGTGTGAATGAGCGCAGGCTTTGTCTTAAAGAACTAACTGCACGTTTCAGTCGAAGGAATTCAGAATCGGCAAATACCGAGACCGTTCCGCAGGAGCAGTGAGCCTTTAAAGACAGTGGACAGGCATAATGGACCCCTGTCAGATTTTGGTAGTTTAGGGTAGTAGACCCCCCAAGTACATCACAACCCCAAGCCCACCTTCCAATTCATGCGCTAAGTCCTGAAAAGCGCTTCGAAATTCCACCAATTACGCCCACTCAATGGAAGTGGGCGGGGCTGGTGGAGTTTTGAAGCGCTTTTTCAGGACTTAGCGCATGAATTGGAAGGTGGGCTTGGGGCTATGATGTACTTGGGGGGTCTACTACCCGAAACTACCAAAATCTGACAAGGGTCCATTCTGCCTGTCTAATGCCTCTAACGTTGTTTCGAAACCATGCTTGAACAGCCTTCGCTACAACAACGGCTCTCGGCAAAAATGGTACTTAGTCAGGCCAACAATTCCTTCTTCGGGATGCTATCCAGATGCGCAGCAGCGTTCAGATGCCTGCATAAAAATCAGCGGCATCTTGCTATCAAAGCGGTTGCCGCGCCAACCATCACGGAAGCCGGATGAAGCTTTTCTTCTGCGAATCAACCCTTGCCATTGGCTTCTTGGAGGAATTAGCTGGTGATTCTGTTGTTTTGGTCATCAAATACCTGTTTCACGATGAAAATTCTAATGTCAGAAAAGAGCCCCATTGTGGCGTACCTTGGAGAAAAGTTCAAGCAGTCGAGAAAATCTGCGCAGTTGGTCCAGCTTCTTTCTTCCCAAAAAGCATGGATTTTCAGCATCCTGAAAACCCTCATACCCATGATCCTGTTGCACGAAGTCGGAGGCAGTCCTGCTACAGATGTACAATTTTGAGGCAAGCTTTCCCGAGAATGTAACGATAACGCTGGAAAACAATCTTCCGATCATAGGTGCGAGGTTAGCAAGATGTTCTTCGTAAGGTGAAAGGACTTTCGGCTATTTCCGACCTTGAAACGTGAAGGATTAACTGTACTTTGATGTTGCTGACGTAATGCCGATTGGGACAGGGGTTGCAAAGAAGGAAAATAAGTGGTACGGAGGTGTAATACGAAGAATTTCTTAATGCTTGACTTTTTTGAATTAGAGAAACCTTATGTTTCATCAATCGATATACCATCCGAAAGCATGAGCATTTAAAATAATCGTAAACCTTTCTTTTTCTCCAGCTCTCCTGTGATTTCACAAATAAAAGTTTTTAACTAGCTGCAGCATCAGCTGATTTTATGCAATGCCTTTGCGCTCCATTTCTGAAAGTAAGAGGGAAACTGAAAAAAAGACGGTCTACGTTTACTAACAAAGTCTTGCTCTGTAGCAGAGTTACATAATAAGGCGTCTTCATTCATTCTTCGCGTAGAAATTTTCTCACAAAAACGAGCATGTTTATAAATTAAGTGCCGTGTATCTTCGAGTAGAGAGAGAGCTAGGAAAAAAGGGAGGGTTTCTGTCAAATCTCCGTTTCGTGAGCTTTCTAACGGTTTATAGGCTGTTAAATGAAAAAGCTTGTGGTTTTCAAGAATGGGGTGGAGGTATTTACAATTAGCTTGCTCTACCCCCTCCCCCGCTCCCACATGTTAAAGTTTTCAATGATGTCAGCCATAACAACGATAGAGTGCCATTCTTTATGCCCTTTAATCTTATGAGTTAAGCGCTATGATTAGGTGTTGCATATATAAATCCGGCTTGCGAAATTCGCTGAGACTTGTCGAATTCCCGCCTGCGAACCTAAAGCAGCTCCTGGTGCGTAATAGAAGTCATGATCAAGCGTGCGTGAGGGCCGAATGCATTGTGCAATTCCAATAAACGGGAGACTGCATGTGCCGAGGCATTGTGTATTTTATAACTTGTAAAATGTGTGGTGACGAATATATTGAACAGAAAGACCGTTGTGCCTAAGAATAAACGAACATTTGGAAAGCGAAAATCGTAAGTATCTAAGCCTGGCGAGCATCGAAAACTTTCCCACCAGGACATGGCGTTTGAAATCAGCGTGTTTGTTCTTTCCAAAGAAACGAATATTGCCGCACGAAAAGCCTTAGAGGCTTGTTGGATATCATGCAGATGTGCTCAACTAAACAGAAAAGGAGAAAGAGTAGCCGTCAACAATGAACTCGCCCCCTCCCTACAAATATGTGGATTCGAGTTTGACCATATAAGGAAAGTTCATTCCATCACAATAAACGGCAAGTAGTGGTCTGACGCGTTGTCAGAGTAGTGGGCGTACCCTATAAAGTATTGTTGAAGGCATGTCTACTCTTGGAGTGAATTACTGCACACGTTGACTCGCTTTCAGATCTTGAAGAAGGCGATCGCCGCCGAAACATAGACCGGATTGTTGACTGTTACTGACAATAAAGGAAGGAACTACCAATTTTGGAAAGCTTAACATCATATACCGTAATCGACACTATGCCAAGATTCAGAAATGTCGAACGTGGAATTGAAAATTTTTGAAATTTCCAAAATCTGTACGTCCGCAGACGGCCACCAGACGATCTGAGATTGTCTGAAGCATATAATTCCGTCACTTCACATAAATTTCGGATTTCTTTAGAATGGACGGATGTCCAGGTCAAGAATCTATTCCTGAGCATAGGGACACTTTTATAGCCCCCCCCCCCTCTCCGCTGTTTTTTTACCCTTTTTTCGAAAATAGCCTTCTATATAGATAAATATATCGCGATAGATAAATAGATATCGCGCCCCAGCGCCAACTTTCACGCTTATTCTCCCTCTAAATTTTCATCTTTAGTTCTAGTTTTTTTTCAGTATTTTGATGATTTTTTCATTCTTCTTTCTTCTCTTCTCCTTTTTTTTCTGCTCATGATCTATCTTGATCTGCTCTATGACCATGTAGGTTTTATGGAGCAAAATTCTGTGATTTTGTGAATTTTATTCAAGAGTTTGATCTAAAATCACGAAATTTTCAGCTCGCAGCAGGTAAATAGTTTTTGCAAGGACTAAGTGAGTATGCGGGGATCAACCGACATTCGGAGGATGAGAGGGGTGGGGTAAGCGAGAGTCAAAGGGACATTGTTTTTAAAAAGCCTAGTTACGGACTCGTGCCGGTGTTTTTAAAAAGCCTAGTTACGGACTCGTGCCGGGCCTCCCCCCTCCCTCAATGGTTTGGCTTTCATGGGTCGCCCAAGCAAGACTTTTCGGAGCGGGGAATTAATGAACTAACAGTTTGTATACCATTAGAGGCATTGTGCTCTTAATTATCCAATCTTATATAGACGAGGACGAAGACCGTCTGTTTTTTCTAGCTGATCTGCGAAGCTACATACGAGAAATTTTATTTAACTATTAGGTTGGCTCGAAAGTTCTGAGACATTTTCAGACAAGATCTGCTATTGTATAAACTCAATGCATCACATCCGGCAGAGGTACCATTCGATAGATCAAAGCAAGCTCTACAAGATGGTTTGCAAAAGTTCGTACCAACTTCGACCCACCATAAGTTTGCATTCAGAATCTGAGTAGTAACGAAGGCTCGAAAAATTAGAAAAAATCATATCTTCGTTCAAATAAATCCTACGGATTTCCGACTTGCTCAAGTAAATTGCACACCAGATCAGACACCCATGTATCACTGCTGAATTTATTCCTTATCCAAAAATCGAGAAAACGTAAGTTTTTATGACTATACAAAAACGAAGCTACGCTGTTCCCACTCATGTAATTGTTTAGTACAAACCCTTAGAAGTATAACCATTAATTTTTAGCTCTCTGTAGGCCCTAGTTTTCGAAAATTACCAAGTTAAACTCTCCTCACTCAGGTGTTCCATGCTAAAATCAATATTTCTCGAAAACTAGGGCCTATAGAAAGCTAAAAATTAATGAGTATACTTCTGACGGCTTGTACTAAACAATTACATGAGTGGGAACAGCATAGCTTCGTTTTTGTATAAGCATAAAAATTTACGTTTTATTGATTTTTACTTGAGGAATAAATTCAGCAGTGATACATATGGGTGCCTGATGTGTGTGCAATCTGCATGAGCAAGAGCCGTAGAATTTATTTGAACGAAGATATGATTTTTTTTCCAATTTTTCGAGCCTTCGGTACTACCCAGATTTGGATGCAAACTTATGGTGGGTTGAAGGTGGTACGAACTTTTGCATACCATCTTATAGAGCTTGCTTTGATCTATCGAATGGTACCTCTGCCGGATGTGATGCATTGAGTTTCGAAAAATAGCAAATCTTGTCTGAAAATGTCCCAGAACTTTCGAGCCGACCTAATACAATATCAGCTAATTTGGTGAATTATTTTATGCTATCTTCTCAAAATGAAAAGGTATTTTTTAGGTTTTGCATGTGAATGGAAATCTCTGAAACTGAGGAATATAGATGCTCCTTCATTTACTATCATGCTCTTCCGAAAGAAGATTTAATTTTATTCTCTTGGGTGAACATACATCCATCATTGGGCATAACAGCCTTCCTTATCTTGCATAAATCTTCCTTGCGACAAATATTTGTTGAACAATGTTGCTCATTCGAAAAAATCAGACGACCTCCAAATTTTTAAGGTTTATTTCGC